AACAGAAGCAACAAGAACTACAGTTGCAGCAACAAAAAATACAACTGCAGGAACAAAAAACGACAACATGAACAGAAATTACAATTGCAACTACAACAACAGAAATTTTCTGATTTCTTTTCCAAAACGATAGAAGAAAAGAATCTTCAGATTCATTCACTCCAGATGCTGTTGCTAATTCAATCAGCGAATTTGTGTACAATCCAGATGAAGGGATAACTTTTCCAGCTTCTTATAGAAGATACAAAGGAATGTTCAAAAGGGATTGTTCACACTGGAATGATGAAAAGAATGTTTGTTTATTATTAAGGAAATTTTCCCCTGCGGAACACAAAAAAAATATTTGAATTATATTTTGCCGAAAGCAACAAGCGTGATAAATTTTGGTGAAACTGTTCGAATATTGTCAATAATTTTGGTGATAGCATTTCATTATTTAACACACGATGACAATGTCTTAACTTAGTAAAGTCAGACGATGAAGATTTTGTCACTAATGCAGGAGTCGTGAATCGAGAATGTGAAAAGTTCAAGTTAAATGAATTAACACTTGGATTATTTAAATGCTTAATATTCGTACTGAGTTTAACTTCTAATAAGGACAGGGAGATAAGATCCAGGATAATTGCTGAATTAGAAATGGATTCCAAATTAACTCTCTAGAAATTAGGGGAAGAGTGTCAACGTATTGGGAATTTGAAACTCGATAACGCAATGATTGAGGAAAAAGACAATTCACAAGGAAATAGTGTCCGACCATATAAGAGATAAAACTAGAAACCTTATTCAACTTTTAACAGAACAGGAAAAAAGACAATACCCCCACCCCTCAGTACCTACAACTTGTCACAGTTGTGGGGGTAAGCATATTAACAGTGATTGTTTCTTCAAGAACAAAATTTGGTATGAATGTGGGTGATTAAGACACAAAAGTACGTGTTGCAGATACAAAAATGAGGGAAAATAGAACGTATGTGAACATAATAAATACATGGAGTAAAGATAAGAAGCCTAAAAGGGAAATTAATAAGACGTCTCAAAAGAGGAAATTTTTTTGTGCAAATTAAAATAAAATTAAAGCTAGATACAAGATCTGTATGCCTATCATATATGAACAGTCATGGTGAAAAATGGGTAAACACAGTTTATTGACTCAGGAAAGAGATTGAACGTTTTGGGTGAATTCAGCTGTAACGATTCTTTTGTTGGAAAAACCAAGAAAGCTGTGGTGTTTGTATTAAAGAATACTACTAATTTATTTGGAACAGACTGGATTGCATTGTCTGCCCTTTCGGGCCTTCCAATAAACACTTTTTGCAACACGATAAATGTCGTTACTCCCGGTACTAATACGGCAACTGAACAATTGAAAAGTGAACTGAAAAATAGTTTTCCAGAAGTTTTCTCAGAAGGTTCAGGGACATGCACGAAAGCAAAAGCTAAATGTGAGTAAAAAAAAAAAGAATGTAACACCGATGTTTACGCCAAAAAGGGGTGTAACTTTTGCGGCCTTAGATTCAATTAATAATGAATTGGACAGACTAGATAAATTAGGTGTGATTTCAAGAATAGATTACTTCGAATAAGCATCACCAAGAGTCAACGTTAAAAAAAAAGAATAGTAAAATCCGTGTATGTGCTGTCTTTTTAACTGGGTTAAATGAAAATCTAAAAAAAGTCATAACTACCCGTGACCATAGCCAGAAGAATTTTTTTCCAAATTGAATGGAGGCAATCTTATTTCTAAATTGAATGGAGGTAATCTTTTTTCCAAATTGAATGGAGGTAATCTTTTTTCTAAATTGAATGGAGGTAATCTTTTTTCGAAATTGAACCTGTCAAACACTTATCTACAAGTACTAGTAGAAGAAGGTTGCTCAAAATTATTAACAATTAACACTCATAAAGGATTATACCCCCCCCCCGACTTCCTTTCTGTATAAAGGTAGCACAAAGCATATTCCAACAGATAATGGATACGATGCTTGTCGTTTTGGATTGTCCTCAAGCATATTTGGATGACGTACTTATTAAAAGCAAGACCCGGAAGCAATATATGGAAGATTCAACAAAATTATTTGAGAGAATTAAAGAATATGGTTTTAAGATTAGTGAAGGAAAATGCGAATTGTTTATGCCCAGACTTAAATATTTAGGACAATATTATAATACTAATGCTCTGTAAATTAACTTTGAGCACTCTTTTGTAAAAAATAAAAACATATCAATAAGAACACGGGATTACATATCCTACTGTTCTTTCTTTTTATTTAAATATACATACATATATATATATTTCAATTAAAAGGTGCAAATATAATTTATAAATTTTTGAATCATTCATACAAAAAACAAATATAGAGGTTAATGATTTAAATCGCGAGAATACTTCGTCGCAAACAATATAAATAAGATACTTCAACCTCGAACATGTATATGAATGATATAATCCCCGTTTATAAATTCCAGTTGCATAAGGTCTTTCTAATTTTTTACAAGCTTTCGTCTGTTCCTAGAGACATCATCAGGTATGGAAGTAGATTTTGTTTTTATTTGTACTTCTCAGTAATAAGAGGACAACGAAAATAGAGATGTAATCCGAAAAAAATGCTATGAGAAATGTGTTATTGTTTTGGAACGTGCGGTCGCAACGCTGAGTTTGAATTTAAATTTTAAGGTTCTGCGTTTTTGTACAAATATAGCAATAAGAGAATTCTTTTTTGTGGCAGATTTTCCATGAATATGGCATGAACTATATTGTTCAATAATTAAAGTAATGTCACACTATTTTATTTAAAGGTTGATGTATCTTATTTATATTGTTTGCGACGAAGTATTCTCGCGATTTAAATCATTAACCTCTATATTTGTTTTTGTATGAATGATTCATGAATTTATATATATATATATATATATATATATATATATATATATATATATATATATATATATATATATATATATATATATATATATACACACTTCCTATGTTGTTTATGTTTCGTGTTTATGCTTGTGAGTAGTTTATTTCTTTTTGCTAATTTTTGTATATATATTCGTGCTCCACAGATATATGTGTAGCAGAAATCTACGAATAAATTAAATAAGATGTTAATCAGCAGTGCCAAGATTCCATACTAACATAATATCTACTGTTGGCGAATACCATCCTTCGCTCGATTGTTATTCTTGCATCTGCTGACGACTAAACCAAGAGTTTTAGGCAGGCTAATGTGCTAGGGAAATTTATTCATTTATGAAATTTATTAGAATCATCCAAAACTTATACTGAGAGCTCACTGCCAGCATACGAATAGAAAATGATTTACACAGAAATAAAAAAAAAAAATGGCATAAGACAAGGACATGTCTTCTCACCGGACTTCTTCAAAGTTTACAGCGAAGTGATACTCAGAGAACTAGAAATCCTTCCAGGTTTCATTATTAGCAACCAGAATCCCACAATCCCATAATTCTCGCAATTCAATATAATGTGTCAGGAATAGGCACATATTAAAATGCGAAATACCAATTTGAGATGCCAAAATCATACAAATGGGAAAATTAAAATATCATATCCAACATCTTAACATTAACAAAAAGCAAAGCAAAAAATAATTATGAAATAAATTAAATATGAGGCTGTATTATAAGTATGTCCCGTTTTTGCAACCCGCTTATAATAACGCTTGTATCATCTTAACTAATAATCATGCGTATTAGTTAAAAATAACTTTGTATTATAAATACATAAAAATAAATTTGTATTATGCAAAAACACGACTCAGTATCAGCAATGCTGTGGCAGCGTACACAGTGGATAAAAATTGGTTGTTTTCAATTTTCAATAATACCAGAAGAAAAAACGCCGCTACTCCTGTCACACGATCCACATCCAAATGATATGGAATCAACCGATTATTATCATTGTTATTATTATTATTATTATTATTATTATTATTATTATTAGTAGTAGTAGTAGTAGTAGTAGTAGTAGTTTCAGTTGCTGCAAAACGCTTTGATGGAAAATAATTTCTTCGATGAAAACCAGATCGGATTTGTCGAAAGCATTGTCTTATCAAAACCTGCGGAATATTATTCAAAGAGTATCAGAAATCTGCTTGATAAATAGCAAGATGTCAATAATGGTTAATATGTGACTGAATAGAATATATTTAAATTCTGAGTAATATTCATAAAGACAAACGTGAATTATTTATGATTCAGCCTAATAAATATACTCTATAAACAGACAAAATAATCGTCTAGAAAATTCTAAAGGCTTTTTTAATTTTAATGTGACCCACTTCTGGTATTTTTCTACTAAAATAAAATACAAAAAACAATTACAAATTTAATTCTAAAACGTTAATCCCTAAGAATAAACAAATAATTAAGAAAGGGGATTTAGGAAAATACAGCTGGGATCTTGATTCAACTACCAGAAGTGAAGATGAATCGACATTTTGGTCAACGAGACAACATGTTGAGAAGCATAACAACAGTGGGATATTGTGCCAACTTCCAGTATACATTAGTAAATAGGTTCAAATCCTGTATCGTTTTCTCAAAGATTAGAGAATAATTTCATGGCCTTGTGTTTTGCTTCGGTTTATCTCAGCACGTATTCAGTTCTCCGTCTCTATCTGTTTATCCATCTGTCTTGTAAACAAAACAATCGCATTTTCTTTAGTAAAGAAAGAGACTTCTAGAAACATTCAAAGTTATTGAATAATAAACAAGACTGTTTAACACTAAGAAGCCATTGACTACCGGCTTATAGAAGTCAGTTATTTTATTTTTTAGGTATTTAAGTTGAGGTGTCCCTATGCAGGATGGACTCGGTTTATGGTGTTGGTATAAGAGAAGCGGGAAAAAAGCTTAGTTCCGGAGACACGTCTACAGAGGGCGCATTCATAATGTACGCTTGTGTTTAACGGATATTTCTATTGAATTTCTTGTTTTCTCAGGATGACGGTGAGATTTTGTCGAAACTGAACAGGAATCGGTACCAAGAGGAGTGAATAAAAATAATAATTCTTTACAAAATGTAAGCGAAAGAAAGAAACGCTGTAGGAGAGGAAAAAATGGAGGAGGCCTGCGAGAAAAGGAAATAAATTAACTGACGGCAGAAAACATTAGGAGGAGACGGCAAATGTTAGAAAGAATTAATGAAAAGGAAAAAGGCAAAGGATATAGAAAATAAAGAGAAGAATAAGTGATTAAAGACGAGAAAGTGTGTGTGTACGAGTGTGTGTGTGTGTGTGTGTGTGTGTGTGTGTGTGTGTGTGTGTGTGTGTGTGTGTGTGTGTGTGGTGACACAGTAGAAGGAAAGAATCATGATTTAAAGAAAGAAGACCGAGAGAAAGGATGTGATATGGGGAGAAAGGAGAAGAAAAAAAGAAAATAAGTATGACAGAGACAAGAATGAGATGAAAGAGGAGAAAGAAAGAAAGAAAGAAAGAAAGAAAGAAAGAAAGAAAGAAAGAGCAACGAAGAAAAGAAAGGAAGAGGGGGTGAGGAAGGATTAAAAAAGAGAGAAAAGAGCTAAGAAAAATCAAAGAAGAAATAGAAAATTAGACTGAAGAAGAGCAGGCGGGGGAAGAATGGGGAGTAGAAAGAAACAAAAGAGCTAATAAGAAAGAAAGAAAGAAAGAAAAAAAGAAAAAAGAAAGAAAGAAAGAGCAAATAAGAAGAAGGAAGAGGAGGCGAGTGAATGAGAAAAGAAACAAAGAAAAAGAAAGAAAGAAAGAAAGAAAGAGCAAATAAGAAGAAGGAAGAGGAGGCGAGTGAATGAGAAAAGAAAGAAAGAAAAAGAAAGAAAGAAAGAAATAAAGAAAGAAAGAAAGACGAAGAAGAAGAAGAAGAAGAAGAAGAAGAAGAAGAAGAAGAAGAAGAAGAATGGGATGACGGAAAATATAACGTAAATAAAAGATAAAAATAATGTAAAGAAATGATAAAATCATACGATGAAAGAAAGAAGCGGGATTTAAGAGAAAAGAAAAGAAAAAAAATGAAGAATAGGATATGAGGTGAAAAAAAAAAAAAGATGATATATATATATATATATATATATATATATATATATATATATATATATATATATATATATGACATAGATGAAAAAGAAAATAGAGAAATCGAAGAAGGAGGAAGAAGATGAAGAAAGAAAGAAAGAAAGAAAGAAAAAAGAAAGAAAGAATGGAAAATATAACGAAGATTAAAAAAAACTAAAAATTTGATAAGAAAATATTTAAAAAAAGATGACAACTAGAAAAAAGAAAAAAGAGAAGGAAAAGAAAAGAAGAAAGAGAAGAAAAAGAAAAAAGATAAGGAAAAGAAGAAAGAGAAGGAAAAGAAAAGAAGAGAGAGAAGGAAAAGAAAAGAAGAGAGAGAACAGAAAGAAGAAAAAGAGAGAGAATATGGCAGAAAGAAAGAAACTAATAAAATAATGAAATAAAAGATGGATGGAAAGGAAAACGAAGAGCAAGGAATTATCGAACAGAGAAGAAATCAGAAAAAGAAGTAACATGGACAACGGAAATACTATAGCTTAAAAAAAAAGATATACAAAGTTAAAAAAATAAAAAAAATAATAATACAAAATATCTTTATATCACACATTCTTTCAAGAAACAAATTCTCCCATCCACTACCTTCCCAAGAACCTCCTAACTCACTAACAGAAATCCTTTCCACTGCAGCGCAATCATTGTCAAACGTACCCTTATTCATGGTCAGGTCTTATTTGTTCAGGCCCCAATAACAACGATCAACCGAACTAAAGTCGATTCTTTGCCTGGTATTTGTTTGTCTCTTTAAAATAAAACAAAAAATAATAACGAAATCTTTCTATTTGTTTAGTCCAGCAAATATCATCATCTTCTTTGTCAAGATTTTTTGGTTTATTTTCAGTTCGTCTATCGATATTTTGTTTGCGAATTTCGAAGGAACCAGAGAATGTACGCTATTTTATTTTTGTAATCTATCAAAAGATTCCATATATCGTACGAGCAGACATACTCATAGACACACTAAAATAATGCAAACAGGAATATATGCAGGATTCAGCATATATCGAAGAGTTCAAATCCCCACAGCTAAATATACAATTATACATAAAATATATGTTTATATTCAGGGATGTATTAAGGATTAAAATAGTTGTCTTCATATTGGGTAATATTTGATCTCAAGACATGCAAATGATTAAACAAACGGAAGAAAGGCGTGACAATCATATCATTCCTGCTGGAAGGTACAAATTCAACGGATATGCTGGTAAATTAGTTGATGAAGAATAATTTTACTTATCCAAGTAAAAATACTAAAGACAAAACAAAAAAAAAACGAGAAAAAAAAAAATCAAGGAATGTAATAAATAGGGTAAATGCAAGGAGATAACCTACAATTTATACACACGCATATATACACACACACACACACACACACACACACACATATATATATATATATATATATATATATATATATATATATATATATATATATGAAAAGGAAAATCTGAACGAATCGATAACTCGATTATAAATTATAAATCGGTTTCATCCGATCGAAAATACAAATAGTTTAATTTTAGAAAATTGTCGAAACTTATCCAGACAATATTAGTTTTCAATTTACAAACATATATATATTATAATTTTTATATATTTTCTATATACTGTCTAATTACTCTCGTTTTGGAATCTCACCGTAATAATATATCTGTTTTCTAATTCTTCCACCCCAGCAACACCTTTACTGCTACCAACATGATATATATATATATATATATATATATATATATATATATATATATATATATGAAATGGACAAAGTCCGACAATTATTTTATTATGTATAAACAAAAATTTTATATATATATATATATATATATATATATATATATATATATATATATATATATAAATATATATATATATATATATATATATATATATATATATATATATATATATATATATATATATATATATATATATATACACACTTTACAAATGGAATTAAGATAACTTTAGTAAATGTAATATATATATATATACTAAATGTAAATATGTTATTTAATGCAATATACGATATATATATATATATATATATATATATATATATATATATATATATATATATATATATATATATATATATATATTATTGGTAATATATATATATATATATATATATATATATATATATATATATATCAATTTCAAGAGGATAGAATTCAGGTACAAATCAATGTCCAGGACAGAGTAAGAATATGATATAAAAGGGTCAAACACTAATATTCCATTGTTATAATTTATTACATTGGAATCGTATTGACAATTCACAACAATCACATTCATCGGACCTACAAATTTAAAAAGAAATCGGATAATATATCTCCGAGTATAAAAAACAATTTTTTTGTGAGTGTATATATATATGTTAAGAAATGGACAAGGTCCGACAATTTATTTATTAAAGACATTTTTATGTTTAACGTTGTTATTTTATAGATACAAGTATTTAAGCAAAGGCTCTGTTTATGATAAACAGTATTAAATAACAATTACCGGCCTGAATGTCCGAGAAATTTTCATAGAAAATATTCGTTCTTTGACAGGATTCGAACCTGCATCCTATACGGAACCGTCATATACGCTGACGTGCCTTGACCGCTCGGCCACAAAGAACCTTACGGTAGACAAGGTCGAATTTACTGTTTATAAACTTCAATCTTCCATGAATCTCGTACATTTATAATTGCTCTGGCGTATCGAATGTAAACAAATGACGTCATATGTTAAGAAATGGACAAGGTCCGACAACTTATTTATAATGTTCTTTGTGGCCGATCGGTCAAGGCACGTCAGCGTATATGACGGTTCCGTATAGGATGCAGGTTCGAATCCTGTCAAAGAACGAATATTTTCTATGAAAATTTCTCGGACATTCAGGCCGGTAAATGTTATTTAATACTGTTTATCATAAACAGGGCATTTGCTTAAATACTTGTATCTATAAATAACAACGTTAAACATAAAAATGTCTTATATATATATATATATATAGTTATGTTTATTAGCCGGACTCACATTCGAGTCCGCAATAATTGTTTTGAAAAAAATATACAGGAGACACGTGTTTTCCACCTAAACACATCCAGCATTCCCGCTACAATATTATGTTTATAGATATCAGCATTACATAGCACACTTCTACTAAGAATACAGGAAATTATATATATATATATATGATCATTTTCAAACTTATTCGATATGATCCCCGCCCTCTCTAAACTTATAACTCTCTGTCCTGGATTAACAAGATTCCTTACACGTTTCACGTTTGATTTTATTTTCACGTCTTTTTTCACTAACGTTTGGACTGCCATGACTGAAATTCCTCTCTTGCGTGCCAAAGGTCTTATGAATTGGGTTGAATTTTTTACAGTTGATCTGTTTCGCTCTACGTTGAATTGATTATACCTCTTCCGGTTGTGATCTCCAGATCCAGTTTTCTTCTGTTGCCTCTATTTAAAACTTATTCACCTAACTATTGAATGGATTTGAATATGGGAACTAGAGTATGAATGTTGGTACATTTCTTGAAGTCACGAACGATCTTTTTCGTCTCACCATTGCTCAGTCGGGAAGACACATAATGATTTTAACCTGTTTACGTTTTAGCTGAATATCTCAAAGGTTTTTTTTTTAGTGATTCTTACAACAAATGGTGAAAAGCTTGCGAAGCTCTTATCTGAAAATGATAATACTACTGGTCGTCGGAGACAGTCCATGAGTCAACACACGTGAAGTGGCACTATCATATCGTTCATCTAATATTGCCGAATTGTGGTTACTTCAAGAGCAGCTCCAGTATCCTTAGCATTTGAAACGTGGGCAGAGTCTTTCGCCCTCAGTTCACTCACCACGGGATAACAATGGTTTATGGCACAAACTGCTTAACTGTTGTTTGTCTCTTCAGTCTTGTTTACAGATGAGACAACATTTTGAAGAGATGGAATAATAAATTTACACAACCAAAATTTGAAGATGGATCGGAACCCCCATGGTGTAATACAGGCTATTTACCAGCATAAGTTTACGATTAGTGATTGGGCTGGAATAGTTCATATGTTCTCCAGCACTTCATATGGGAGCTGTCTACATGACTTTATTTCGAACACACTTCCAGATCTGCTAGAGGATGTACTCATGCTAATACGAAAACTTATGTAATTTATACATAATGGGGCTCCAGCACATTTAGTCACATTGTTCGCGATGCACAGGCTGACATCTACCATGAAAGAGAGGACCGGTTCCATACCTGCAAGTTCCTACTGCCTCAATCCTTTTTATTCTAATATGTGGGGTCACCTAAAACAATTGATTTATGCAGCAGACATTAATAATGCAGAGATGCTTCATCAACCAGTCATGGGTCCTGTAAAACTATTCGTCACCGTATGGGAGTATTTTAAAGGTCCGTGAGTCAATGATCCGACGGGTGCATGCGTGTGTAGAAGCAAGCGGAGGACATTTTGAACTTTTGTTATGTGTTGCTGTGTTGAGGTACAACGATGGCCTTTTGGATATATGTTTATATAGACATTTTACATATTTTGGTGCCAGGAACAAACCCCAATAAATGTAAAATTATTTTTCGATTATATCTTGGATTGTACATTTAACAGTGTCTAACGTTAACTTTAGAATTAATAACTAATAACTCAAAATCGAAGAATTTGTGGAAACATGTTTATATGGACTTTTGTCCTTATTTTAGTGTGAGGAACCTTATCTCCAATTTAGTAAAATTATTTTTGATTCAAATTGTATATATATTCAGCTTTGTTGCCCGTCCCAAAAACTCATTTGATCAAATTTACTAATACGACGTAGTTAAATGAATACATGAAGCATAGTATATGATCTGACAAAGGAGGTATATGTCC